TTTGTCTTTTGTGTTCTGGGCTGGTACCTTTTCTTCCACTTGATTCTTCTCGCGGTGGACTTGCCAACTCTGCCGGTGTGGGATCTGAGCACAAAGATAATTGGACAGTCAGAGAAAAAGAAGAAAGCTGATAGTCGAAGTGTGTGATTCTTGGAAATCTTTTGTTTTGACATTAACTGGCGTTATTTGAGTTTTTGTATGAAGTACATCCAAAGACTGTGGGTGTTGTAGAGAGAATAGTGATGAAGTTAGATATGATGGCACCATTTTAGTACTTCACAAAGGGCTATCAGGGCTGAATTTCATTGTCAATGCGGCAGATGCCTCACCATAATCCATTAGTATTCGTAAATAAGCAATGTAGTATCTATTTAAATGATCTTAACAATAACTTTGCCAAAGTGTTGTTTATCGTTCAAATACTGATACCCTGCCTTCAAGTCAGACAAGTAGAATAAGCGACGATCAATGACAGGCGAGATCTTGCGTAACTCGACAGCATGAAGCACTTCTTCAAATTGATGCCGGCTTCCGGACGCGATTCCTCGGACAGTGCAATTTCTCAGTAGCGTGTCTAAGAATGTAGGCCCAGTGATTCCCTGCTTAGTAACGGTGTCCAAAAACCCAACAACTTGGATTTCTCCTCCTGCGGCAACAGCCTCGAGCGATTCCTTGAATGAATCTGCTCTTCCAATTACATCAACAACATGTGAGCAGCCCAAGCCCCCCGGAGAGAGGTTTTTAGCTGCGGTACCCCACTTTTTATCTTGATTATAGTTGATAACATGAGTTGCGCCGAGCTCTGCCAACTTAGCGGCCTTTTCGTGAGACGATGTCGTGGCAATGGCGGATGCACCGGCTGCAAGAGCGAGCTGAATCACGGCAATACTGACGTTGCCAGAGCCCTGCACCAACACGCAGTCACCAGTACGAATTGCACGAGCCCCGCCTGTAAGAACGTTCCATGCCGTAAGGTATGCACCTCCGAGAGTTGCGCCTTGCTCGTAAGTCAAAGTCGATGGCATTCGAACTAGGCCTTGCTGGTCGAAAATACCATATTCTCGGAAAGTCCCGTCAACAGCACCACCAATAGAGCTTTGCAGCGCTGTAGGAGTTAGAGGCACATTGCTGAAGTAGTCGGTCTGAAAAAGAAAGGCCAAGACTTTGTCGCCGGGCTGGAACCGTGTCACGCGCTCGCCGACGTGAATGACCTCTCCGGCGCCGTCGCTACCGGGCGCCACACCGTCGACCGTGGGAAAGGGGTACGTCCCATTCGCAACTGCTCAGAGTTGAATGAGCTGTCCGAGTCTGCTGAAAATAGGCGAAGTCATGGGATGTGAAGCGTAAGTAAGTGTGATACTGACTGGAAATATCGCGGTAGTTGAGCGCTGCGGCATGGAATTTCACAAGAACGTCTGTTGGTCCAACTTTACCCAGCTTCTGAGCAGGATTCCAAGTAAGTGTATCCCATCCCAATCCCTTGCCGATCCCATGAAGTTCCCACCCTTGGGTGGTCGCAGGTATCTGAGATGCCATTGCCTAAGTGTTGTGTAGCTGGCTTAGAATATTGAAATACTGAGCTTGGGTGATTTGTAGGATTTAAGTAAGGGCCTGGCGTTCCTATTTATGTCAGGTCCGAATGATTGAATTAGATTAAAAGTTGTAAATGATCATTTAAGCCTCTATCAAGACTTCCCTCCATAGTTTGGCCATTATGAATGAAATTTTTCTTTCCCTTGGATTGACTGGTAGAGTTAACAATGTGTATTGCAGTCATTCATAAGCACGTAGGGGCTGATGGGGAAAGGGGTGGATAAGGCGGATAAGTTTCTTGTTTCGGCAATTTATCCACCACTTCCACCAGGCATTACTAACGGGCACGATCCTCCAACCGCTTTACCGACACAGCACAGCTGCCCTTCCACACGGCCACTCGACAAACAAAATCAATCCCTGCGTCATAGACAAAAACTCGGTACGTAAGCACAGTGGCTTATGTCTGAAGTTCAAGGCATTACTTCTCGACGAACTGCTGACATAGTTGGGTACTTGTGGATCTACAAACAGCTTAGTGGAGCCGCCCAAGCTGCGAGCTCATGGAGGAGGGCTCAGCCAACAGCACTTACCATAATGCTAGCCTATTCAGAACCACAGATCAGCCGCGCAGACGCCGGGAACACTTTACTCGGACGCGTAACGGCTGCGAACGCTGCCGGACAAGGCGCCGTAAATGTCAGCAGCCTTGTCAGATGTTGTTCACCAAAGAATGAACATGGCTAACCTGTGAGTCTTTCACAGGCGACGAGACTAGACCTCGATGTCGGCGTTGTGTCGACGCCAAGGTCCAATGCCAATATGTCACTCGCATGTCATTTCCATATGGCGGCAACTCAACCCAAGGTACCAGCTTGGCCTCTTCACGGCTTGGGACTATCCAAAACGACGCGTCTTTATCGTGCGCCTCCGGTGATACGAGCTCGGACGGTGCGCTCTCAAACCTGAAGTTGAACGAGCAAAGATCTTTGAATGGCCCAACATGGACTATCTCTGGTGTCCTGCCCGATGGTGTGACATTTCTCATAGATTATTACATCCGATATATTGCGCCTTGGGTAAGTTTGATTCGCAAAACGGGTGTGCCTTTGTAGGATAGTAGAGACTAATCAGGCCGATAGCTAGACGTCTTTGATCAAGATCACACTTTTGCAAATCTCGTTCCACGTCTCGGCATGACATCAGCTCCTGTACTAAGAGAGGTGCTACAGCTTTCGGCTGTATCCTGTGGACGCCACGCAGAGATCCCAAGGAAGCTTGCAGAAAGTGCATTGGCTCGCCGAGACTTTCACTTACTGCTGGAGGGAACAGGTACTCAGGCTCTTCAAGTGTCAACTGCTTTCGCTCTTGAAAAAGTCGAGCAGTTCATGGAGGCTGTCCCAGACTCGTGGGTGCCAACATACTCATGGGACGGAGGCAATCCGACCTGGGTGCTGGTCGGCTTCGACCATCCTAGCCACCCAAGGATAACTCTTGCGGTTGCAGCCTTGATGTCACGGCTCGGTGCGTGATCTTATGAGTTTGTTGCCTTAAGGTACTGATCAAAATGCGTAGACATAGCTCACTCTCTAGTGCATCAAGTTGCATCACCCATGGACTCTACTGTCCTTCAAGAGGCCATAAATGCGTACCGTCCACAAGTAACCGAGGATGACGGCTCATTTACACCACTCGATGTAGCCCTCCGCTGCATCGTCATACTTGCTGACATCACAAAGCTCTGCTTCGACCCTCCGGAGCAAGTCACTCACAGCACTATTTCATCTCCGCAATCTCGGACTGACAAATGGAGAGGATTCATGGCTGATCTTCTTTCATGGTACTCAAAACGGCCGAGTAATCTGCACGCTCTAGTCGAAGATGAAGCACCCAGCAATGCTTTCCCAGCCATCATCTTCACCAATGCCGCTGCGGTCTGGACTCACATGATGTATCACGTATCCATGTTGGTTCTCATAACACACAAGCCGGCATCGATATCACTGCGAAGCGAGTATGCTGCAATAAAGATAGATCAGAGTCACTTTTCGGGTCTCTGGCATGCCCGACGAGTTTGTGGCATTGCCATCAGCAGCGACCCGCGATGCTGGGATCCCTGCATGCTCGCTGCATTCTATCTAGCAGCACGACGCATGACCCAGATAAGTCAGCAGAAGGAATTGGAGATGTGTCTGGGGCGTGTCAGAGTAGCTGGTTGGCGGAATGAAGGACTCGCTACGAGACTTCGGGAAGAATGGTGTCTTCCTGTCGCACCGACATAGCCAGTAACTCACTCTTGGGTCTTGATGTTCGTGACCGCCTGTACCTCAGTACAGCGACTTTCAACAGTTGTCAAGATAGTGGCCCTGAGAGAGGCATGAGCTGTACTTTTAGATATGTCTCTTTCTAAATCCAACTCGTTCCTCAGTTATAGTGCAAAGAGGTAAGTGAAGGGAAGGCGAGTCCTGGAAAGAAAGACCAGCGCCATTCGGTTCAAGACTGAATAAGCAGTTATTCGGTCACACAAAAAACCACCAATTGCTCGGAAAGTGTTGCATTGATGCTTCTCGCATGTTACTGGAAATATGCGCTGTGGTGGCAGGTCTTACGCGCTAGGGGGTGAGCCGAGGCACAGGAAAGCTTCGATGCAAGGCTCAATTAGCCGGAGCCCCTGAAATACAGGGGAATTATCGCTCCCCACAGCCTGATTGGGCGCTGGGATCGGGGTCCCACTTCAGCCTTACGGCCCAGGTGGCAGCGATGCGCGACGACACCTCACGCGCTGCGCTTTGCTCGTATTCAATTTCTAGGCCATGCAAGCATGCGACACGACATCGTACGCCCACGATCACGGTACATACGATCTCTCAATCCTCAGCACATATAGAGGGGATAGCCATATCTCTTCTTATATGTGTTGAGCGAACAAGTAGCATGACTTGATCCTCGCCGAACGTTCCTTCCCTTCCTGCACGACATCGTCGAAGCCTCCACCATGGGGCTCTTCTCCTTTTTGAGGAGCGTCTACGACCTCGACACCCTCGACACCCGCTTCACGGTATCCTCCTCGACATCCTACAAGACAGTGGTAGATGCGCGCAAGGATTCTATAGCAAAGAACGGGGTAGACAAGAGAATAAGCAGCAAGGCACAGCCTTCAAAATGGAACACGCCGGAGTTCTACTTGTACTACCTAGTCTTCCTCATATGCGTGCCCCTGATGTTCTGGATACCCTATCAAGTGTCGAAGCGTATGTTATTCGCGCAATTGCATACTACTCGCCGACTAACAGATTTCCAGCTTCTGATCCACGCTTTCACAAGTACGAACATCACCTGTCTCCAGGATGGGTTCCCGGAAGACAAATAGCAAGTTCGCCTCCATTATAACAGGAGTCCGGAGCTAACATTCTATGCAGGATGTCTCGGATAACCAATACCACACCTTTCGGACTAATCTGCCATACATGACCCTTCTCTTACTCTGCCATCCCATCTGCCGGAAACTATGGAATGCTGTCAACCCAATGCCCAGGGGCAAATCGTCAGCGGATGAAGCGGAGGCTCGATTGAACCAAAGGGCATCTTTTGACTACTCCTTCGCGCTTCTTTTCCTAGTCATACTGCATGGTTTCTCGGCGTTCAAGGTGCTCACCATACTCTACATCAACTATAACATTGCCACAAATCTGCCAAAGAAATACGTACCTGCCACGACGTGGGTGTTCAATATCTGCACACTGTTTGCCAATGAGCTCTGCAACGGGTACCACTTCAGAGACATTGCTAGCTTTATTTCATTGTCCGATCCGAAGAACCTGAGCTCGCCGGATGGGCTTCTAGTGCAATGGGGCTCTTGGCTAGACAGTTGGGGAGGCATCATGCCGAGATGGGAGATTCTTTTCAACATTACAGTATTGAGACTCATAAGCTTCAACTTCGACTATTATTGGAGCCTAGATCGGAGAAGCGCAAGTCCCCTCGAGGTATGAAACGTGACCGTCCTGTTCAATACCACAGCTAACGTCCGTAAGAAGAAGCAACTAGACCCGACGAATCTTTCAGAGCGAGATAGAGTCACCATTCCCGCACTGGCCCGGGATTACAGCTTCCGGAACTTCCTGGCTTATGCGGTGTACGCGCCGTTGTATCTAACCGGGCCGATTTTGACGTTCAATGATTACATATCGCAGCTCCGGTATAAGCCGGCAAGCATTGAGACACCACGGACAATCCGCTACGCCGTGCGTTTCGTCCTCGTCCTCCTAGTCATGGAGCTTATCCTTCACTTTGACTACGTGAACGCCATATCCATGTCTAACCCAGATTGGTCTTCGTACACGCCTGCTCAGCTCACCCTTCTGAGCTACCAGAATCTCCATATCATTTGGCTGAAGTTGCTGCTACCGTGGCGACTGTTCCGCCTCTGGGCACTCATCGATGGCATCGATCCGCCCGAGAACATGATCCGCTGCGTCAGCGACAACTTCAGCGCGGCGGGCTTCTGGCGTGCTTGGCACCGCAGCTATAACAAGTGGCTCGTCCGATATATCTGGATCCCCCTTGGCGGCGCCAACTTTCGCAATTGGAAGAGCTCGGTCCGGAGTGTGGTATCATATCTTCTCATATTCACGTTCGTGGCGCTGTGGCACGATATCAAGCTGCGGCTGGTGATATGGGGCTGGCTTATCGTCTTCTTCATCATACCAGAGGTCGCCGCTAAGGCGTTATTCCCGGCGCGGAAGTGGGAAAATCGACCAACTGCATATCGTATGCTATGTTGCATCGGTGGGGTGGCCAACGTGCTTCCGATGATGTCGGCGAACCTCGTTGGATTTGCGGTTGGGCTGGATGGGTTGGAGAGTATTGTTAAGGGCATATTCCATGACTTTAATGGTAAGAATGACTTGCTCCTTGGTGTTTGATAATGAACTCGGGCTAACCTTAATATTCAAGGTATCATCTTCTTCGTTACAGCGTGCTCAGCGTTGTTCGTGGGTATTCAGGTCATGTTCGAGATCAGGGAGTCGGAGCTAAGGAAGGGCATCTCGTTGAGATGCTAGCCTATGGGCAGTGTATCATAATGTAATACTCATCAAGGCATTGTGGGAGCCTCACAAGGAAGCTGCTGCCTTGTCCCTCAGGTATTTGTGCGTTTGTTTGTTGACTCGGCCCCTCTTAGCCGCATGCCGTTGGGGAAACAACGGCGATTTCATCCCATGTGCCTACCCTCCTTTTGCCCACCCCTTATATATCCAAATTAGGCCGCCTTTTCTTTGTAGGCGGTAATCCTGTTACACCTTGGTGTAACGGTAACTCGATAGGACGCTATCTAGCTGACGAGTTGTCTGAACCAAATACAGATCGGTTCGGTAGGACAGAACATTCAAGTTGAGCGCTGAGCACTCGCTGCGGGCTTGGTACCAATCCTATCGGTCTGATTTGGGCTACGGCTTTAATTCCTACGAGGAGCTTCGGCTTCCTCCCTTTTTTATATTTTTTTTATTCCTTTTTCTCATTTTTTTGCGCCGCCAAAAAATCGTTGCCCGCCCCTGGGTTCGATCTCGCGATCTGGCGATGGAGTTTCTCTTGGTGTTGAGGACCCCAGGCAGCCACCCACCCCTTCCTTTGAGGGCGCCAGCCCCTTTGATACCCTAGACAGCACGCGATGGTCTCACCTATAGGTAGCCATAGTCTGTAACTGTGTCCATTACGTTCCTTTTTGCTCGTATGAAGGGTGCTTTCCCCCCATTTGGCCCAATATCAACCCCCTGAGAACTACCGAGATCACGTCCACTCTCACCACCAGTGGCTTACAAGGACCTAGGCATTAAACAGCAAACTGCTTGATATTGGACAGACACTTGGTCATTATGATTAGGGGTATATAGTCTAGAAATCCAAAATCATCTATCAACCAACGCAATACTAAAATACCGGACTATGGCTATCCTTGTGCCTATTCCTATCAAATCCCGCCATCTCCACGTCCTCGTTGCCATACCCAGGCTGGTGGGCGAACTTGCCATCCTTGCCCAGCACCTTCTCGGTCAGCCACAATCTAAGCAGCATGACCGCCTTGACGATGCCGTAGACGACCAGACACGCCACCGCAATGCCAATGATGTACGCCGCCACCAGCCCGCTGCCGTTCTCCTGGATGTCCAAAAAGTCGTACGTGTAGAACCCCTTGGTCGCGTGCGTCAGGTACGCCAGCGCCAGGTACAGCGCGAGCACAAAGACCAGCCACCACATGTGGATCCAGGGCGCGAGCGGCGTGCGCGGCACGAGGATCTCAAACGCCGCGAAGCCGCTGTTCATGGCGTGCTGGCTGAGGTTGGTGAAGGCGGCGAACTCCTGCGTGAACCACGCGCCGCTGTACAGGCGCCACCAGTAGACGGCGGTGACGATGAAGGGGTACACGGTGATGGTCGAGTAGTAGAAGGCGTGGAGCGCCTGCAGATACCGCGGCCAGCGGTCGAGCAGCGGCGTGCCGGTGCGGGCGTACGTGAAGGTGTGTACGGATGCCACGAGGAAGTAGAAGGCCAGCCCCCAGTATGTCAGCGTCGTGAAATAGCTGAAGGTGTTGCCTGCCGCAGTGCACCCGCCGAACGCGGCCTGGTGCGTGCAGTAGTACCCGATCTGGGTGAGGTTGACGACGAGCGCGTAGAGGCCCTAGGAAAGATAGCGCATCAGCCTGGAGTCTTTGAATGTAGATATCGGCGCATCAGGAGACACAAAAGTCGCCTCGAGCGATGCATGTCTCTTGAGAGATAGCCTATGTGCTGCTGGAGAGCCCGACTTACGAATAGGAAGCGTATCGCGAACAGGACGTATGGCGGCAGTAGCCACGATGTCTCGTACCTGTGGGACGGGTCCCACAGGTCTTTGCCAAACGCTAAAGGATTTGACCACCGCATCTTTCTCATCTCGCCGGTCGGTAGGCGACAGTTAAAGGGAAGAAATGGCGAAAGAGAGCAACAGGCTATCGAAGCGAGTGACGGGAAGAGCCAGCCATGTCAGATATAAGGTGCGGTAAGATGCCTTAATCTTGCTTTTGTTCCCTTTATTTTTTCTACGAGCTGGGGTTGATCATCGGGGCGCCCAATTGGCAGGGATTCAGCCCTGCCCCAGGTGCTAATTTAGCGCAAGGCCAGGACCGTGGGAAGGCCCTACGCAGTACCGCGTCACCACCTAATATTATGTGGGCCACATAAGGCCCGACCCTCTAGATGCAGCCCCCGAACCATCTATCGAATCTGTAGGTTAGCTAGAATAAGGAAATACGGCAAACAACTTTTGAGGCAAGTGCAAATGACTGCTGGCTGGGCTGTCGTGGAAGGGGCCACCGAAGACGTTTACTCGGAGACTATGCAATGACGTATAAAAAGTCACCGCTTCTGCTGTCAGATTTTACGGCTCTAGGCATTCACTCCTTCAGCCAGTTGATGGTGCTGGCGCATGTCACTTCCCCCTTGCGGCTCCATGATTGACGATCGCTGCTGATGCATAGCCACGTCGTCCGCGTGGACGAGAAGCGTCTGGCTTAGGACTGGTCCGGAGCGTGCGTATCACCTAGATTCGGCTTGCTAACCGACTGCAGCACAGCAGGGCACGTCTTTCCTAGAGTGGCCGTGACTCGCAGAAGGTTCGGTTTTCCCTCTCCCTTGCATTAAGGCTCTGTACCGTAAAATATGACTACTATCCTCCAGGTGAACGAAGAAGCTAAAGCGTAGCTAAAGCGGGCGCGTTTTCGCCCACCCGAACCTGACATGAATTCTCCTCAGTAAAGCTATAATCATCATGATAGGTGCACACAGCCTTCTTTTCGACACCATCGAAAATCGTGTCTGCAGAGAACTTGGAAGTCAAGGTACGGACAGCTCAGCTTCCGAGCTCCTCATCGCGGGACCACTGGTTGGACAATTCGACTCCGTAGCTCGCACACTAACGAAAAGGGCAACGTGGACAGCACGCGGTAATCACGCTCCACTGGATTAGAGAACACATAATAGTTGCATCTAGAATCAGCATTGAGATGCTGTAAGGTAGCAATGAAAATAATGCGGTCTGATCACTGGGAGGGGAGTAAGCAAGTCAAAGGCAAGGCGACTAGCCAGTGAGGATGTCCGAAGCACATCAGTCTTGCAAGGAAAAATGGCCATTGATGAACTGCGAAACACCATGATGCCATCTGGAACGATCACGCTCCATCCCGCGTGGAGAGTAGGAATCGTCCACGATATATATCTCTATCACGATGAGACTAGACTGCGGGGCGACTTCGGCTCCGGATTGAGATGCGAACATTCAAGAACCGTTCTGGGATGATCAGGGGCCAAAAGCGAAAGTAATTGTCAGATCGGGTTCCTTGGACCTGCACAAGTCAGGAGAGAAAAGGCTTGAGTCCTTGTCGTTCTTCGAATGCCTGCAACGGCGGCGGAAGCAAGGGCCACCAGGTGGCTGTAGGGCGGCCGATGTTACCCTTGATAAAGCAGGTCCGGGACAAGTGAGCCGAAGTGCAACATTGGAGAGAGAAGCATATACGATGTCTTGTCATGGCGCTTCATCACATGTTGCAATGTGGTTGCATATGCACAATACCGCTATCAAGAATGATACAGTCCGGGCGGAAGGTGTCTCGTAGTCAATGTGAAATGGTCGGCTGAGGGGGGGTCCAAGAGCAAAGAGGTAGGTGGTTTAATACATGGATTTGGTTACTATCACAAACTGTTAATATGTGGCCAGCTTTCGATTTTCCTGGTCAAGTAGTGTGTTCGTGCCGGACACCACCTTATCAGGCCGGCTTAATGGCCCTGATAGAGTAGACCACATGGCCGCCATGGGCATTGGCCCTGGATCGGGAAAGTCGCCTCTCAAGCAAGTTCGATTTAGTGCATCCGTCCCGTGTTCACAGATACTTTCTTACCCAGGTAGGGAACTCTCCTGCGTAGTAGAGGACTCTTGGGGATCTCAGGCGCGACCCCTTTTCTGCATTGTTACTGGGCGGGATGGCTTGCGCTACTTTAGGAGCTTAGGTACCTTACTGCATAGTACTGCACGCAATGAATCGATTTCATTAATCAGGTTAGCCCCCCATCAGCAGCCGTCCAATACTCTTGGCCTTTTCCCCCGTTCATATTGGATAGGAATTTTGATCATATGCAAGAAGCTGATGAGCGCAAAGTGTGCTGGTCGCAGAATTGCCTCCGACCTCAGAAAAGGAGGGGCACTGAGAGGGGAAGGTCTAGGACAGAGCAGAGCAGATCAGATCAGGGGAAACACATGCATTCTTGTCACAAAAAACAATTGATTCACTTGACATGGATGGGCGCCGTTCAGCGACTGAGAAGCCGCCCGCTCTTAGCAGTAGTCAGGGGCCCAGACGATTCTGTCGGTCGTCCACACGCGCAGGGGTTCACACCATTTTTTGGAAGAATTACGGTATTGCTGGCGGCGTGCCCACCGCTGTGGGCTTCTTCATTCCCGCGTTTCCACTCTTTGTGTTTTAGCGATCCAAATTACGCGCGAGGTGAGAGGGGGATCATGTGCGAATCCTGTTCTGAAGTGTGTATTGTTCAATACAAGGAGCAAAGATCTACCGACTCAGATCCTCTCCAACTTTACCTTATCTCTCTACCCCTTGTGACATGCATACAATACCGTACTGTACATACCTGTACCTGGATAGCCATACTATCATTAGTACGGTGGCTTTTCCGCCCACAGTCAGAGCTTTACCGTTTGTTCATTGACGAGGCGCGTTTCCTCCCCTTGCGAGTGGAATGGCGCTGGCATGGGTGTTGCTTCTTTGGCGGCACACCTAAGCACGCCCTATCTGACCTAGGCCAATATTCCTGCACGTAAAGCGCAGCGACAGTAGCATTGGGCTGAGCAAACTAGACTCAATCGGAGCCGCAACTCGTAAGCCTCCTCAATGCCACCCCAGCCGGGTCCTGCTCCTAGTCCTGGTGCTAGTCTTGGGGAGAACAGACAGTCTCCAGTCCCCTACCAGGAGCCAGCCTACTGAAGAAGTGCAAGTCTGTGTGTGAGAGTGAGAGTGTGAGAGGAGTGTGAAGGTGTTATCAAGCTAAGGTGATTGAGGAAAGGCAGCCGGCTAGCCTCTCAGCTCTCCCCCCCTTCAGGCCATCCATCCATCCATCGCAACACTCTCAATCTCAATCTCTGGGCCATTTTTATCACCACACCACTCAATACTTGCCGACTTAGCTTTTATTCAGCGCATTTCTAAACGGCTGAGTTGTCTTTGTCTCTCATTGAAAGCGCCTGCGGAGTTGTTCGTCGTCCTTCAGTGCATTATCTTCGCGTGCGGCCTCGAAGACCTAATCAGTGGAGCAAAGCACTCTATTATTGCTTCATCTCCGAATGCCCTCGACTGGGCCCCCGACCAAAACTTCTCAGCCCTCTCTCAGCAGCTCATTTTAGCCTTCGTCCAATACCCTTAGTCCACCCGGCCAGATCTTTGTGTCCAGTGGCTTGGGCTAACACCCCATCAATCGACCTTTGAACGACCACCTACCTGCTACATCCTCATCGATCCTGTGATTTGCTGTCGATTGCGTGCGCCAGCTGCCTTTCGGCTCGCTGCTCATTCCATTCCTGCGGACTCGAATAAATCTCGAAACTCTCCCATCATGCACGTGGGATTTGGGAGGATACTTTGCTGACGACCTGCCTCGCCTCAACTTGACTAAATAGTCATCCAATTGTCATATTTTTGACAGTTCGACGACCACTTCCGAAATAAAGAGTGTCCAACTCTGCCCCTCGATCCGTGTCACCACCACAACCGACGCCCTGTGCCTCGGGCTCCATACAGTGCTGTACCAGATCCGGTCAACCAATTCGCTTCTGCGGTTGCTCGCTCGAACGGCTGGTTGCGTGCGCCTGGCGATCCGCCGCCAATCGTACCTGCCGATCGCTCGACAACCCGCCCACCCATTGGCCGGCGGTGCGGGCTGAGTAAGAGGGAGGTACATACAGAGGGGACGCAGGGACAAGACACAATAAGAGACGGAGCCACAGCAGGGCACACGGGGGGCCATGATGGCCACCGACGGGATCGCGCCGCCGCCGCGCCACAACGGCCGCCAGCAGCAGCCGCAACAGCAGCAGCTGCCGATCGTGCTCGAGCCTGACACGGAGCTGGATGTTGAGACGGCGAGCGTCCTTACCGCGAGCCGGTACGAGCCCGACGACGATGGGGAGGACCACATGCGCAGCAGGACGCCCACGATACCTGCCAACATCCCCGACCATCCTATCCCGTCGATGCAAGAGGCCTTCGCCGAGTCGTTGGTCGAGGTGACAAATGGAGGCTTGGCACAGAAACCGAAGCTCAGGACCGGGGATGCGAAGAGCCGGCGGGAGAAGCTACTCGACGAGGACAAGTCTGAGGGACCACCCGCCGCATTATGGAGACTCCGCCCTGGTCAAAAATGCCACGAGCTCCGGAAACTGATGGCCCAGATCTCGTTTGGTGTATACTTGTTGCTGAGAGGGCTGGCCAACAATAACGGCCAAGTCATCACGATTCTGCAGGGGCACATTGACGAGGTGGACGAGTTCCTGGAGACGACCATCGAGGACTTTACCATTGCGCTGAAGGACCTCAACGAGCGGATCGAGTACCTGAAGGTTCCCATGGAGAACATGGAGGTGTTCGAGAAGATGCTGGAGGACCGCAAGTTTCGACTACAGATCGTGGAAGGTAACGTTAAGATCGAGCACATCCTGTCGAGAACGTCGACCGCCCTGGCACAGTCCATTCGAGACATCTCAGAAGGTGTCAGGTCCACCAAGCAGTTCAGCGCTTATCTTGAGTCGCAAAAGGACGGTATATGGCGCAAGGAGAGGCCCGATGTTGTCGACATATTCGATGCAATGAAGGGGAATACGGAAGGCTGGTACCATGCGTTTCTGGGCCTCGAAGAACAGAGTAACACACTGAGCGGCCTCCTGCTCAGGCTAAATACTATGATCTCTGAGATGGATCAGAAAGCCGGAGAGGTTAGCAGAAAAACGAGAGTACGTGGCCTTATCGGGCGAACCGTTGGTAAATATAGAGTGGTACTGACTTATTTATAGTTCAGCATACAGCCTTTCTCAGAACCCGACGATTCGCAACCTCGATCACCTCGATCCCCTACGAGCTCGAATCAGTCAACCCCACATGCATCACCTCCAAGATCAAAGGTACCAACGGCGCCACCTCGCATCTCTCTGAACCTTGGACGCATGAGTACCTTTCTTGGAAGGCCAACAAGCACAGCGTACTTCGATCTGCCTCTGCGCGAGAAGGATGAGATCAAGGAAGAAGGTGAAGCCAGAGACACTCTTCCCGCTTTCCAATATACCCCTGCCGAAAGGGACGAGGCTGTCCCGGTCGAGAAGTCCCCCGATGTTGAATCTAAGGCGCAATCTCCGACCCACACGGACGGGACCCTGTCCCCTGAGTCGCCGCCGCCTGATGATGGCGCTCTTTATATCCTCCAGCCAAGGACATACACCCCACTACCACCTGCTCCCCTACCTTCACCACGTGTCCAAGAAGGTCCTAGCTTTTCAAGGGACGAGCGATTCGCAGAAATCGAAATCAGCTTGCCTGACAACCGCCGCGATACCCTTCAGCCTCCCACACCCTCATCGCCCTTCGAGACAGAACAGCCGCAGCCCAAGCAAAGGACCTCGCTAAGACAGCGAGTCTCACTGAAGACAAATCCACCCGAGTCTATCCAGGTGCCGCCGCCGAATGCCCTTGAGCTACAGCGGCCCCGCTACCCAACTCCACGTACTCACACGGCTCCAGACTCGGCGTACGGATCTGACTTTGACCGGACTGCCGTTCAGTCGATGGCCGACAGCTCGCATGCCGACTTTTCACCACCCGTCTTTCCTAATCTCATACCTTCACCTCATTCCGACCAACAATACTTCCGGCCTGTCCAGGCCAGTCCCCACTCTCCTCTGCAACAAAGACCCCACACTGCAGGCACCCTGCCACGACAAGGCTATCATCAGCGCAATGTTCCCTCGGCGATGGGCATGAGCATGCTGAGCAGCGTCAGCACTCTGCACCCCGAAGGAAGCGTCGCGGGTAGCAGCCGGACACTGAAGAAGAAGCGCAGTGCGTTCGGCTGGCTGAAGAAAGCGTTCTCGCTTGACGAAGAAGAGCGTGCGGCCTTCGAGCAGCGGAAGCATGAACAGTCGAGGAACCTATACTACGACGGCCGCAGCCCCAAGTTCCTGGACGGCAAACGCATACGGTGAAGTAAGCAAGTTGAAACAACTTAGTTACAGCCGGTAATATGCCGTGGAACTACCTCAGGGGCTATAAGACAGGTCGACTAATAACCTTACACAACCGCGTCGCGCACAAGCGCGCGATTATATACCCACATGAGGGATTGCTCGTCTCGATGATCGTCGAATAAAGACGACGCTCGACGGGCGCAATTTCCCCATTGCACAGTGAGCCGCCGTGTTTCGGCGTGTTTGAATCGTCGTTCTCCTGATACCCCACATCATACATACCCCAAGTCAATTTTACGCGAAGCATAGCGAGCCCGTGTTCTCATTTGTCTAATCAGTCAATGTTGTTGCTACTGCTTCTCATCTGGATAATATCATCCACCACCAGCGCCTCCTTTTCTAATTTTGAAAATGATTTACGGCATCATACAGCAGGCCCTCTTTTGGTCTTTGGTTTCTTTATTTTTGGCATGGAAGTATAGGAAATCTCGAGGATCTCATTCCAAACAAGGAAAGGTCCACGAAGTTGGAGGCGCTTGGCGGCAGGGGACAGCTGTCGTCGAGGCGCGGATCATGTGTAATGTATCATATGATAATTTCTCACTAATATGAGCCTCATAACGGCCGAAAGGATTAATGGTGAATGATATCCAAGAACGAATTGCTCGAATTTCTTGCCATTGATCTGAGTCTTATATAGACTGAAAATATCCTCTGTTCACGCCGCTGTTCATCTTCTTTTTATCGCTTCCCAGGTGCGGCGTGGCGAATACCATGGGAGATACAATCCGCGAGTCGCATTCTCATGGACTTCGCAACAACGTACACTAAGCTCGTCTTCTTTTTGTTAAAAGCGCAAGCAACATTCGTAGGCCCATTTAGCGTACTTCTCTTGAAGTCTTTTGCTCTCTTCGATCCACGTGCTGAGAGCCGAGACACCGTCGATGAGATCGCGAGTTATCATATCGGCAGGTCCACCTCTGGCTTCGAAGCACGCAATCGTGCCATCTAAAACGCTCCGATAATGAGTAAATTGCGACATTCGAGCAGCGAGGTTGAGACGATTAAGTAGCAACCGGTACCCTGGCAAGAATAGTTTCTGGCACCAGAGAAGTGACGTATCAGTGGTGAAAATAGAAATGGTTGGGCCCGCAAAAACTTCCTCGAGATGAACAGAGTTCTGTTTGAGCAGACTTTTGTTTTGGTCTTTAGCTAAAAAGGAAAACATGTCGATAGTGGTGTCAAGAATAGTCATAGCTTTTTGGAGCGAATGATTGTCGCCTCTTGTGGACAAGCCCCCTTGCTCTAAGATTGCAAAACCCTATTGCGCCATCAAAGTCGACTTGGTCTAAGTGCAGTTTACAGAGCAGTGCCCAGGTTGCTCGCGAAAGGTCTATTTGTCCGCATTCGAGATATGCCAGAAAAAGTATCTGGAGCGCCTGAACGACAAAAGGGCGGATTTGTGGTTTTGTCATGCTCTCAAGTGTAACCACTTCCTCGAGCAGACGGCGACCATCTGCGTGCTGATCTTGTTCGCATTTCATCTTTCCCAGGATCCATAGGCATTCACAAAGTCGGTAAACATTTTGTGGGTGTTGGTTCCGCAAACTCGTTTCCACTTTGGACAGTACTGCAATGTTCCCTGAAATGCTAGCCATCTTGAATTCGGCATCAACATACTGTAAATCGTCTCTACCATACCTCTCTTGGATATCGTAATCCACTCTTGTAAAAGCTGGAGTCTGTTGGCCAATGGATATCCTACGAGTAGTTTCCATTCAGAGCCTGATAGATATTCTCGACGCTTCTTACTCGTCCACACACAAGCGCCAACGTCCTCTCCAGTCAATGGTCTAATCAACGAGTTTGCAACTTCTCTATGCTGCTCGCGCTTGTCCCACATGATCAAAGCATATACTTGCGAACAGAGTCGTGCGAAACAACTGTTTTGATTCATCTGCTTCGTCCGCTCATGCTGTAGCAGTAGCAGGCTTTCGTCTCTGGATTCCGCTGTTCCGGTTTCATACAGATTTGCTGCTAATGGGTAGGACATGTATGATTCGTATCTTTCAGCTCCGGGTAGAGGGGAATCTCTCCAGTGAGTTCGCACATGTCGACAGAGTGCTGTGGCCTCTTCCCATTTGCCGTCATTGATAATACATGTTATCAGTAGCAAGTGAGCCTGGTATTTCAGAAGAGCTGGAGTTTTTTCGACATCGTAACAGTTCAAGAACAATCTGATTAATCGTGCCCCGCTATCATAATACTCTTTACTCCAGCAAAAAAGCGTGAGCACGATTTCAGAAGAGACTCTCTCATGATTTCCTGCTCGCTCAAAGTTCGTCGAGGTTATCGGGATACTAGGTGTAAACAAGCTCCTTTGCATAGTGTTAGTATGCTTTATGTATGATGCTGTTGTTGCTGGGCTGATAGAAACCAGCAGCAATCTCATAGAGGGTCATAATCCTCATTCCAAAACTGATCTGTAAGGTGTTGTCTTCGAAAACGTCTCAAAGCAGATGCTGCTAACATGATAGAACATGCCCTTGAATTCGCCAGAAAATGGCTCCCGACCTGCCGTAACTAGACCCGATCTCTCACAAGAGGATGAAGTGAGATGTGCCAGAAGTCGTCTATCTCTCCAGGTCGGACTGTGGAGTATATGAGAGATAAAGTCTTCAGTTCCCCCATAATCTTGCCAAACAGAAGCTGGGACCACGTATCTTTTTGAGGAAAGATAGAGAGCCATTCTGGAACCCCATTATTATGAATGATATCTGAGTGATAATTTGAGAAAAGCTCTTCAGAGATGTCAGCCTCATCAAAGATTGCTAAGATGTCAAGGAGCTGGGATTTTGCCATGCCTGATTTCAACCGACGTCGCAGCAGATCAAGCGACATCTCCCCAGTCGTAGACACCGATTGTTCCCTTTGTGAGATATCTGATCTGAAGTACTCGCTTATTGTCGGTGTCATCTGGAGAATCTCGCGCTGTTTCCCTCATAGTAAGACAGGAAATCCTCTAAAGCAACAGAATTATCTGTAGCGTACAGATGTGCACCGGCCTGGTCAATTGCTAGTGGGAGATAGCCCAGACGCCGAACAAAACTTTTGGCATGCTGGGTATTGACCTCATTTCGCTGGCAGTAGCTAGTCTTGTACAAAAGCTCGATTGCATCATGTTCGACCATGCCCCTCAATTCTAGAAACGCGTCGTTCGACGCAAGACGTCTCGTGTGGGGGGCCCCGAGTCGTAATGATTACGCTTGAATGGGTGCTGTGAGATAGAAAGTCTCGAAGATGCTTGAATTCATTGGGATTGTCATGATTGTCGCAAACAATCAGCCATCTCCGAGGCCACTCGGAAAGAATAGATTTGACAAAATCAAACGCGCGCCTCAGCCATCCTTTGGCACGTATTCGAGAAGCATCGCGTGAACTGACTCGCAGTGCCCAATAATCCACGGTAGGACATCCGTTATGAGATGTCCGACACGTGCAGAGTTGTCAAGAGATTGGATATGCGTCTTGATGGTGTCTGCGGCATAGAGTATGATATTTGCGTGAGATCTTAAGGGTTGAAGATACTCTGCTAATCGGGCGTTGTTCTTGGTGAAGAGCACAACTCGGGTACCTGTGTCCTTAGCAAGTCTGGACAGCTGAGCCAACAGCGGCGAGAGTCCCAATGACTGTGAAGGGATCCGCCATGTTCGTGAGAGATGCATCAGTTTGGAGGGCAAATAGCTCTCCCAGGCTGGCAAGTCACAGGTTCGAAGTGACAAAATTACACTGTATTCAAAAATGGTGTTTGACTATAGAAAATGCTGAGACCCAATGTAGAAGTCGGCTTGCGTGGAGACCCGAATGATTCTACGGAACGATGACTACGACAACAGCACAGGAGGAAGAGTGCGGTGGGAATAGGGAAGTTTGAGCTGAAAACTTTATCTAGGCGCGCCTCCTCATTATCGCGAGGCTGCCATGTAGCCACACGAGACTAGAACACAAATTAGACGCCAAGCAAGGTTGTGTGGCAGATTTGAGCGACACACCGCCACAGGTTGCTCGGTTGGGGACCGGGAGACATTCTATTGACTGATCCTGCTAGTTAAGAAGCCATAGGATTTTCTGCCATGGAGATTTCCGTTGTCAAGCTGTCGTCAGCAGGCCTCCCGCAACATCATTTCTGGCCCGTTCGTTGTCGCCTTTATCAAAAGTCCAAATCGCAACTCAACCTGAGGTATCTCGGTACCCACTTAAGGGGCATGGGTGGACTAAATAAGGGGCTCCCCACTTGGTTCCGTCCTGTCAGTTTTTTCCAACCACCCCGCGAGGCGTAGCTGCATTTATACAAACCACCACCCAAAGCATCTTATACCAGCCCGACATACTAGGCACATGCGGATTACCTTCACCTCAGGGTGGCCTACTACATAGAAACTGATCCGTGTCAAAGCGTGTTGGGCTTATTGGTTCGATTCATCTATCAAATGACCAATTAGCTACAGCTGTTTACAGGAGCCTTTATCTCTCTGCATTCAATGCATACAAGTCAAATCAATGGCAGCCGATCTTCTAATATCTCAAGCCCGCATGACTGGCCAGAAGATGAAGTGCTAAGGCGTCTAGCCCGCCGTACGCCAGATGTTTGGGACTCCATGCTCGAAGAGACGGGCGCCGTTAACGGCATAACTCTGTCACGCAATCCGTCATCCTCCGCCGGAGACCTCGACAAACTTTCAAGCGAGACTGTCATTCTAATCTTGCAACATCTCGACCTGCAAAGTCTCTGCAAGTTCATGACCGCATCCTTCCGCGCAAAAGAACTAGTAGAGTCAATGCTTGCATATCAAAATCTTTTGAAGCATGCATCCACGGCTTTAATTGTCTTCGGGAAAACACACCTGGCAGGGCATCACACTGCACTGGACCTGCACGCAACCCTGTTATCAGAGGAATGTGTATCCTGCCATCGGTTCGGAGCATTCCTCTTCCTGCCCACTTGCGAGCGTGCATGCCTCGACTGCCTGCATCGTAACATGCGGTTCTGGGTAATACCTGCCAAAGAAGCCCAGGAGACATACGGGATCCCGCAGAAAGAGATGCACCGGCTTCCTGGTATGATGTCAATTCCGTTTGGGAAGCGACGAGGACGGCGCAAAAAGCTAGTTAGCGTCAAGGTCGCTTTGGAGCTCGGTCTAGCCATACATGGTTCACGGCAAGAAATGACGACCTGGGTGATGCAATCAGGCAAGCTGGGCGACAAATTGAACGAATATAGCTGGTGGGCCGAGGCAGGCGAGAGCCTTCTGGAATGGAACACTGAGGACCCCATGTTCCCTCCACGAAGTACGTGTTGGGGCAGCGCTTCGATTAGATTCCCACATTTGCGGCGCGACCAAACAGTTGATCCCGGCTACTGGTGTGAGGGCTGTAGGTTTTGGAGGAAGAAAATCAGCAAAGTCTCAAACTACAGCCATGGTATGGACTATATCGGCAAGTCACCAGAGGATGAGAAAGAGCTTGAGGTGCGCCACAGGCAGGAGCTGCGGGACTGGTCAAAAGTTGGGCTGATAGAGCATGCTCTTACTTGTCCGGGAGCACAAGAGCTGGCAAGCCTTCCTGTGGAGGAGAAATGAGTCAAAGAGACTAGCGTTTTGTAAGAAATCGCGAGTGTGTACATATGTTCATTTTCGTAAAGGGAATACAGCTCGGAGCTGCTTCAAGCTCACCGTATATTATCTTTAGAGGGTTAGAGAACATTCGATGTTACTAAGAAGCCCAGGCTAGCACCTGGGGGTTGACAATACATATTATCAAATCAAGCAAGCTTCACTGTGTCCTGGTCTCGTTAAATAATAAAGGTGCTAAGCTCAACCCCGATCCGGCCTCCGTAGTGGGGCCGGGTTCCGTGGTGTCAGTCGTAGAGAGACCTCCGGGTTTGTTCAAAACTGATTGATGGCTTCGGATTAAGAGAAGGTTCTGGCCCGAAAACCCGCGGACCGCTCGGTGATGACCTCATGATTTCGCCCGCGAACACAAATTAGGCAGGAATTCGCAAAAGAAAGCCGGCCTTTACGCTAACTCCGTAAAGCGAATATCACGACACTTTTTGATCTCAGATTAATCATATCTTCAACCCTCAACCTGTAAAAGGTGAGAAGACAATAGCGTTCATTTAAATCTCAACCGCAATCTCCAGTGCGTCAGTGTAATCCAGGACAGCCGGAAGATGCCCGCCGATTGTACCTCCGAGAGATTGCTCTTCACGGCAGCTGGAGGCATGCAGAGTGCTGCATTGCTTCAATTGCTCACTGGCAAGTGGAAAAACTTTCGACTCGGCGTGCACTCAGCAACCACTGCAGCTAAGCTGAGAAGCCAATATCCGGATGCCGAAATAGTGGAAGCCGATCTGGAGGACATCAAGTCAGTAGAGGCTCTTGTCCAGAATGTGAACGTTATATTTCATGTCGGTCCTAGTATGCATGCTAGGGAGACTGAGCTGGGCCTACGGGTGGTCGATGCAGCAGCTGCGCAGAACAGGAAGCACCCTGGTGTCATCAAACACTTTGTCTTCTCTTCTGTGATCGGTACGCAGTTGCGCAAGCTTCTTAACCACGATTGCAAGCGATATGTGGAAGAGGCATTGATGGAAAGCGGGCTTCCGTATACGATTTTGCAGCCGACTCATCGTATGGACATGCTGCCTTTGAAAGCGATTTTGTCACAGAAAACCGAGACCACGGAAAGACCACTCAAGTTCATGGCCAATTGGAAGCCTGAAAACAAGATGTCATTCGTCACTATACGGGACCAAGCCGAGGCAATCAGAGTTGTTCTCGAGGAGCAGGAGAAGCATTACTATGCGACTTACCAACTTGTCTCAACACCAACGCCCATTTCATATGCCGAGTTCGTGAAGCGAGCAGTCAGTCAAGCAGACAAGGAAATTGAAGTGGGTTACAAAGGGTTTGAGGAATCAATATCTTTCTATCTGAATATGTTGTTTGGCGGCGAAGACAAAGTTGGTCCGGAAGTGAAAGACAGTCTGGAACGGATGCTGCTCTACTACAACGATCGTGGGCTTCTAGGCAGTCCTAACCACCTAGAATGGCTCATTGGGCGAAAAGGAGAGACTGTTGAAGAATGGGCTAGAAGCCAACTTGCTTAAGTCAACTCAAGCAGTCAGCAAATGCTGTGCAATTAGTTCACAGCCCTATATATTTCTCGCGGGCCCTTGTCATCTAATGATATTTTAAGAAAGAGTTAATATATGAAGTTTATCCAGAGAGATACTATTTGGTGAGGCAAGAAACCCTCGACTAATTAAATACATGTATCGTCTCCACGAATCAGGTCACGATAAGACCACCTATCAGCGTATCTACTACGACAGACGTGTGGCAGGGGTCTGAAGCGACTGGATAGGTGTGTTCTTGCTGAGCGTAGACAGCTATCCCGAAGAAGGTTACAATCATACGAGCTAAGGATCTTGGAGGCTTAGTGGGGCATCTCCTCCCTCATTGTGCGCTGGCGTGAGATTTGCATCTGGGTAAGGAGAGGGGAGAGGGGCAAGAGGGGCGCCAGCTGGCATCTCCATCGTTAGCCGATAAAATTCCCTCGCTGTGGATGAATCTCTTCGCGATGGTAGTAGCCTTGTGATAGAGCTGGGGTATCTGCATTTACCAGGATCAGGGCGTGCTCTTCATTGTCACTGGTCGGTTTGCTCTCCGTTTGGTTACCTTGCTTCGTCCGATCATGGCCGCAGAGACTTCCACGGCGGCCACGGCCCCGGCGCCACAGGCGGAAACACCCGCCTCGCACGAGCCAATTGAGGCGGCGGCGCCTGGCGAGGTCGATGATCAATCCGACTTCGAATCTTCGGACTATGATGCTGTCTCTGTATCGGGCTCGACCAGCGTTGCCTCAAGTGTCTACCGCTTTGCCTATGAAAATGGCAGGAGATATCACCAGTACAAGAATGCGAGATATCCCATCCCAAATGATGACACAGAGCAGAACCGTGAAGATATGAAACATGCTCTTATGCTGGAATTGACAAAGTCAGTCCTTGTCTCAAGCAATGAAAAAGTAAACACATAAATGAGAGCTGACACAAAATGATACAGTGGAAAATATTTCTTCGCACCCATCGGAGACAACCCTCAGAAGATCATCGATCTTGGAACTGGCACAGGCATCTGGGCGATAGATGTTGCTGACCGCTACCCCAGCGCTGAGGTTTTCGGCATTGACCAGACTCCAATCCAACCGAACTGGGTGCCGCCTAATTTACGTTTCATTGTAGACAATATTGAGGAGGAATGGTTGCACGGGTCCGACTTTGACTTCGTTCACATCCGTCAGGTCATGCCCGTTCTTCGAGACGGCGAAAAGGTGCTTAGAAGCGCCTATGAGAATTTGAAACCTGGTGGATGGATTGAGATTCAGGAACTGGGTGGTCAAGCGCTTTGCGATGATGATACGATGCCCGAAGACTATAGTGTAAACAAATTCCTCGACAGGTGCCAGGAGGCTCTAGGCAAGTTTGGAGCCGACTTCCGCGCTGGCAATAAACTCCAGGAGCCACTTGAGAAGGCAGGCTTCACCAACATCACTTGCAAGAAACTAAAGGTGCCCATTGGCCCTTGGGCTAAGGTAAGTCTACATCTTTCATTTTGATCCCCTACTTTGACTGATCTCTCGAAGGATAAAACTCTGCGCCTCATCGGCATGTACTTCCGCTTGATCCTTGGTGATCTTCTCGGAGCCATGGGCGCCCGACCATTTCGTGCCCTGGGACTTAGCGAGGCCGAAATCGAAGTCTTCCTCGCTGGCGTAAGAAAAGATCTCAAGAGTGCAAGCGCCCACTCTTACTTCAATTATCTCTTCTGGACAGCCCAAAAGCCAACATCATCATAAGTCTGCAAATCGTACGAGGTAACAAGGGTGGCGGGGGCTAGTTTGATTTATCCCCTTTTGAAGCAAGCGTCTATGACACATCCAACTAGAAACAAGATTTGATTATGAAAGTCTATCTATGAATTTATCGACCTATATCCTACCTCGGCCGGATTTGGTTCCCATCTGAGCAAGAATTAGATACAGAAATTAACAATAAAGCTGGTTGAAGGTATTCTTGATACCCTCTCTTTCTCTTCCAACGTGTTTCCATTGGAACCTTCTGGTGCCAGCTCAAAATCGCTTCTTTGACAAGAAAGCGGAGCAGACCACCATCAAAGCCCCTGCGGCAATGACCATGATCCAAATGTCGGAAATGGTATTAACCAGAACGTCGATGCATCTGGCCTTCAATTGAGGACTAATACTCTCGAGTACTTTACTCTGAGATCCTGCAATAGCAGCCCTGATTTCCCCTGTCGTAAAACCCTGGCCATCCAGAACAGACTTCATCCCTTCGAAGGATTTGCTTTGGAAAATGGAACTGGCAATGCAAAGTCCTAGCATCTGGCTCTGGCCCTGTGAGATGTTCATGAACTGGATAGCCTCAGTGATTCGTTCTGGCTGGCAATATTTGCCAGCGATCGTGTAAGCAGCGACATTAACAGTCATTCCAAGGCCGAGCAGAACTGAGAAGCCATACGTGTAGCTTGTAGGACTGTCTCTCTGAATGATATGCATGCCAGCTGCGCCAGCTGTCAAAAAGATGGCTGAAACGAGATACCAGACCATGTGATACCCAGTGCGAGGCATCGCATATCCCGCAACCAACATAGAAGAAATGCAAAAGCAGATGAACGGTAGTAGTCGGACGGCGGCCCCAGTACCGGTATCTCCGTGAACGAATAAGAAATAGAGCGGAATGTAGTAGATCGAAACGAACAACGCTATGCCGCAACAAGCCATGATAAGCCAAAGAAGGAGTAGCTGGAAATGTCCGAGAAAGTCACAGGGAAAAAGTCGGTCAGCTACTGTGGTCAGCACAGCATATCGTTGCGTGATGGCAAAGGCGATCAGGAATGCGACTGAAAGAACAACACAGGCAATGAATCGCCCGTCGTTCCACGGCCAAATTGGTCCACCAAACGTGAAAGCCAGCACGAAGCAGGCGTACATGGCTGCAAACAGAAGCATCCCTAGCCAGTCTAATTTCTTGATCTTTTCGAAGAAAGGTGTATCTTGCCTTTGAGGTTGGGAAGGCAGAGCGAAAAGGTACATCGGAACGGTTACCGCGAATATGACTAGGTTTAGGTAGAATGCCTATCCCTGATTAGTGAAATCTCCTTTGACACTTTGAAGTGGCCACATACCCATCGCCAACTTGCTGAGCTGTCTGCAAACAGGCCTCCAATAATCGGACCTAATATACAGCCCCCACCATATACCAAACCTTCAATGCCGATATAGAAGGGCGCCTCGGTCGGCGTAGCGATTATCGTGATCAGGTTTAGAGTTCTGTGTTAGAGTCAGCGCGAATGTGCAACGTCCTGCTCGCTTAATGTCCTACCCAAGGTACATGCCTGCTCCACCGGCGCCAGCCCAAACACGACCTACTATGATAGCATTCATAGACGGTGCCGCACCACAAAGTGCACTTGCTGCAGCAAAATTTGCAAGACATGCGAAGAATAGCCATTTTGTGTCGAATATCCCGAAAGCCTTGCCCAGTGGCAAAATGGACACTGTCGATCCCAGTCCAAATCCCACTCCTAGCCATCCAAGTTGAGACACATTGTTAAAGTTCTCAGACACTGCGGCTTGAATGTCCGCTACAATGGTAGTGTCGAGACCATAGAGGAGGTTCGCTGAAAAGATAGCAATGCACACGAGGAGCCATCGAAATCCTTTGATCGCTCGTTCGGGCTGCTTACTCGTAGGGTCGGATGTGGAAACATTGTCCGAGGACTCGTTAGGCTTGAAGGTAAGGTCTTCATGTTTCTCGTTAGAGTTTTCCAAGACTCCAGTAGAGGTGGCTAATGTCATTTCTGAGTCTCTCACGGGGGAGGCCATGAAGGGTAATTACGACGCGTCCCTGCCGTTTCCCAGCGAATATACCTGTGAAAAGGTCTTGAATCTGTATGTATCATCGCAGCAAGCCCTGATGATATTTATCCTTCTCGATTGAAGTGGGCTCCTGCGGTATACGCCAAGCCTCTGAAGATTGTCTCTCGTGTAAGTGCGGAATGACGGAACTGTAATGGGTCTCAGAGAATTCAACCAATCAAAGCTCTCGGAATCACGGAATTCTCAACACTAAGTCCAAACTCCGGCACTATGAACGTCGAAGAAGACTTCATCTCTCGGACTCATTTCCAACCTGCGATCAAGCAAAATCCGACATTCCGATTAACTTATCAGTTCTATTCTCTCTGTATACGTTCTTATTTCTATATTATGATTACTCTTTTTGCTTCTGAGTCGCCGGAGACGCACAATTGTATCCACAAGCAATTAGCGTCATACAGCTCGATTCCTAAGCCATCACGGAAGCAAGTGTCCAGAGCTTGTGATCACTGCCGAGCTCGGCGAACCAAATGTGACCATGGAAGACCTTGCCAACCTTGCAAGCAGCGGGGCTTGGTATGCAATAGTAGAGGAGATCACAATGATGAAGCGCGAACCCTTCCGCAGGCACTGAAGTGAGTTAGCTCAGAGCATGATACGGACTGTGCAGTTTCCTGACCAAACGCAGAGAGATCAAAAGGTTAAGAGCTAAGATTGCAGAGCTCGAGATCGAACTTGAACAGGAGCGTCGTCATCGTGGGCCTGCGCGACCGGCCCCTACTCCATCCAATACAGCCTCTCCAGCGACACTGTCCCCTCGGCCTTCCAATTCGAATTTGTTGTCACGACCATCCGCTGACAACATAAAAGCTACTGGAGAAATCATTCTTCCCAAAAAGAATATATGGGAAGGTATTTACACAGCAACCGCCCGTTCAGACCAAAAATTCTACTATGGACCACTGTCGTCGCTCTACTTCATTGGTCGCATCGGGTCTTTCTTGGGTCGATCTCTTCAGCAATCATTTAGCGATCACTCAATGCAACCAAAGGGGGCCAATAAGACATTAGGCAATCCTGTTAATCCTGCAGATCACGACACCACTATCACACGACGAGGTGAGCCTGCAAGGCCAACAATGTCACGGATACAAGAAGAGCACTTTCTCAACTTGTTCTGGGAATCTCATCATAGCAACATGCCTATCATTGCGGAAGATGAGTTTCGGAGACATTACGACTCTCTATGGGAGTCATCAAAGTCGTACCGCAAACCATCGGCTCTCGTGGATATCGTTCTTGCGATATCCATGCAATATGGATGGGTTTTCATTGTGCCAAATCCTTCAAATTCAACTCAACATGATGATGCTAGTATTGCGGGACGGTGGTACTATCGCCGCTCCCAGAGTCTCCTGGCTGCTGAACTCGAGAGCCCATCCATTACGACGTTGCAGTGTCAGATTTTCTCCATAATCTATCTTTGCGTCGCATCTTTCCGAAACATGGCTCACACAACTTTGGCTATGGCAATCCGAACAGCAGAGATCCTTGGGCTTCATATTGAACCCCCAGAGAGTATGCCGCGCAGCGAGAGAGAGTTAAGAAAGCGTATCTGGGCTATTTTGTTTGACATCGAAGCCAAGACCTGCATCAACCTTGGGAGACCATTCTCTGTTCACGAGTCAGATATCAGCGTTACGGCGCCCTCGGACGACCACGAAGCTGCGGCTTTCTTCAACTCAAGCCTTGGCATATATGATAGCGAAGTGACCTGGCTCACGTACTCCTGCCAGATGACCAAAATGGTCAACATATCTGTCAATATTTACCATAGTCTTCACGCCAAATTCGCTGATGTCCTTGGCCGAGGAGGGCACCACAACCCATATAAGGATCCCCAGGATCTGGAATCATGTGCTGAAGCGCTAAGTTCGCTGATCGGACCCCTCAGAATTTGGGCTGATGAAGTTCCAAGAGGAATCAAATTGAAACGCCGAAATGGGGGTGATGCCATGTCTCTCGACCGGTCCTCTTTTATCACTGACACTACTGCTCCCACTTGGCTCCAACGTCAGCGTGTATGCCTCGAACTACTCTATCACAACATATCTTGCAGCTTCTATCGGCCCTTCATCAATTTTTGCCCAAGTTCGACACCAACAGCTCAGCGACATGCAGTAACAGGCCTTAACCATGCCATCACGCATACATTTATCTTGCATCAAGTTCTCAGTGAAACAGATGTCATGAACAGTTGGCAGGAGTTCTTCCTCTGGCAGTGGTGTGCGACCGCGACAATAATTGGTTTTCTTCTGGCGTACCCTGTTCATCCATCAACTGGAAATGCCCGAAAAGCAGCCGATAAAGCAATTGAAGTATTTGAGCGCTTTGGTAGTGACTTCGCCGTCTCTGCCAGCGCGGCAATTCTGACTCGCGAGCTTGTTGAGAAGGTCGATTTGCTCATGGAAAGATTGCGGAATGGGGTTACTGCGACCGCCAGCACTTCAGAAGAGACCTCGGCGGAGATTATAGCCAGTATTCCTGAGAATGAATCCGGGCAACTCGATATTTCACTGGAGAGCGATTCAGGATTCTCTGAGTTCATGGATTGGGCATCGGCAGTGGATTCATATAACAATTTTGAGGATTTGTTTGAAGATGCCAACGTGGGCATGAACTGGTGGGGAATGAGCTCAGAAGCTTAATCCGAGTGGTATCACAATCAATGCCAGATGATTTGATAAAGAATTACTAGGTATCGTTGGGCCGGTTGGCCCCTGACACAGATGAGCGTAGGACTTGGTTTATGCGCATACTAGAATCGAATAAAAACAGTTTCGCGCCTAGCAAACTCGATTTTAATGCGATAGTTCCGCATTGTCTTGCAACGAAGGGGTTTACTAAGTGATTATAAGAGGACAAATAGCTTTACGTGGCCGTTAGATGTAATTGCCCCCTGCCGTCACAAATTTTTAGGGTGGGTATAAGGAAGGAAAAGTCGAATCATGACGAAATACGCCTAGGTCGAGACAAATATACATTGCCACTTCGAATGATGCCTAGTGACAACTACGCAAAAAATTCTAGGATGAAATGATTAGATCACTATGCACAATGAAAGCTGCCAAAATTGTGTACGCATAATCCATCAGCCACCGTACCCAGCTTCAGGAGTCCATATGATTAAGCAACGCATTGAAATCTTTCTCACTGTTTCCAATCTTTGTTATATCACCGCCGCGACGTACGCGGATCTCCTCAGCCTCGACAGTGTACTCCAGAGCTTCATTTCCCTTCCCCCGAGCTCGCGAGATTGACCCTATTCGCCAAGCGGAGCGGGATTTTCCGCACTCACCAAAGTTGTCTACAAGACCCAAATCATCGTACATACTGTAGCTGGGTAGCTTCCTGGACTAATCTATGAACTACGATCAGCTTGTGGGCTGTATGCTGATCAATTAAACCGTAACGACAGTCTCCCCAGTCCTTGATAATACCTGCACACATTATAGAGAACCAAAAAGAGAAGAGAAAGGAAGAAACCTTGAGGCAAGGAAGTGCTTGATCACTGTGAAGCCTGGCATGGTAGGGTAGTTCGAAGATTCTAGGCTAGGCGACATTCTGGCATGGTAGGAGGTGGGCTGCTCAACCTTGGCGAATCTCATCCGTGACACAACCTGCGAGTGGCCTAATGGTTCATAACTATGGCGTAGCAATATTTGGATCCTGTACAACACTTCGGATGAGGTCCCCCAGCTCCTGCCAGCCTTCCTCTCCCCACGCTCTTCTCAACAAGGGCATTACTCACCATCCTTGGGTATTGTGTTAGCGTCATCCGAGCCCGTCTTGGGAAGCTGGGATGTGACAGCCCCGCTTCCGTGCATAAGGATGGCCCAACTTGAGCCGCATTTCTCAGCTGCAATAAGAAGTGCTCCTCTCGGTCGATTGGCTGCAAGTTTGTGCTGTATCCTGGCACTGGGAAACCAACCGGACACACCTCGTCGTCTACATGGATCATGGCAGCCTGCCCCGATTGACGTGGCTTAGCGCCCCTGGCTACTTTGCTGACACTATGTACATGTACTATACCTATACTATACGATCAACCTACAGTAGGCTCCCAGATATCTAGGTGGGGGACTTGTCACCAGGTGTCAACCGGCCTTGGCTCCCGCAGTGGGGCGACTGGCTAGTGATTGACTTGTGAACACATGTGAGGGAACCTGGCATCAACAGGCTTGCAAGGCTTGCAAGCCTTTGTTCTGTGGCCAAAAACATTTGTTCGACCTTGGTAGCTAGGTAACGCTAGGGGGGACAGCACAGTGCTGTCCCCCGACATTCTGGGCCGTGATTATTGCCGTAACAACCCCCAACACCCCGCCCCCCAACTTATCACCTTAGCTACCCGTGGCAGCACGCTGTTTCTCAATCTTCGCAGCTCGTCCAGAATACTGTTCAGAATCCAGATTTACTCAAGCAATGCCTGCCTATGGCTTTGCAACTCACCTGGCTGCTGCTGCCGATAGTTGTACTGTTACTTTCAAAATGGTTGCTAATCGACATACACACATCGCGATCGATTCCAGCCTCGTTCGACCTGTTGACACTCACCGCCCAAGATATCGCACAACTCCTTGACAACCATACTTTCACCTCGCTTCAGCTAACAAAAGAGTATCTTCGACGGGTTGAATTAGATGACAGGTCCGGCTTGCAGCTCCACAGTATACTGGAGCTCACACCTCCGGCAATTGCTCTCCGCGTGGCGAGCGAGAGGGATATGGAACGACAGAAGGGCATAACACGGGGCCAGTTGCATGGTGTTCCAATTATCATAAAGGCGTGTGTTTGAAGTATGAAGCACATACCCCTCACTAATAACCCAGATAGGGCAACATGGCGACCGATGAAAACCTCGGCATGAGGACGTCCTCAGGAAGCTATGCGCTTCAGAATGCCACAGCGACCCGCAATGCCTTCATAGTCGAGAAGGCCCTAGAAGCAGGCTTAATAGTCATTGGCAAAGCCAATCTTGGGGTCGGTAATCACTGAAGCTCTGCCCTGTTAGGTTTAGTCGTCTGATCCTTTCAGCAGGAACTCAACGGCTTCAAGTATGCCTAGCCCTCTTGCCGAAGCATTTAGTTCACACCGAGAATAGCCACTGATGATAGTGCGACACAGAGATAACAGCCTCAGCCCAGGATGGTCGCAGCTAGGAGGCGAGACTCTTTCGCCATACGATTTGCAGCACCCTTGCGGATCTTCAGCTGGTCCGGTCGCTGCAGTTGCTGCAGGATTCGCCCCATTCTCACTGGGCACTGAGACACAGGGCTCTATCAGTTGCCCTGCATCATTCACTGCCTTGTACGGACTAAAGGTCTCCACAGGTCTTCTCTCACGGAGCGGGATATTGCCGTCATCAACTACATTTGACTCTCCTGGGATTTTGGCGAAGTCGGTGTGGGATATCGCTGCTCTACTAAGCGTCATTGAAGGTGTTGATCCGGATGATCCGGTCACGCAAGACTCGCAACCTTTCATCAAAAACTTCACAGCATCGCTTGACGCCAACTGGACTGACTTCCGGATCGGCATAGCCGACAAGGAGTGGTTTTGGTCCATTCTTCCCGGCTTCACCGGTGACCAAGCTGATATTGATGACGAAGAACATGTAGAGTTGATTACACATCCCGTGAAGTAATAGCTAACTTGGGCCTGCAGATGTTTTCTTTAGGACTTAACGCTGTCGCCGAAATGGAACGGCGCGGGGCAACCATCGTCCCAGATGCGAAGATTCAAAGCGGCCGACATTCTTTAGGCCATGTTCAAAAGCTGATGGGGAAAATAATACGTATCGAGACCTTTTAATTCTGTTTCCCCGTTACATTCATGCCAATTCTAACGCGCGGCATAATCCAGGACATGAAATGGGGCCGGGTTTTGTGAAACATGTTGCAAGCCTTCATGGCGTCCAAGTCAAGTCCCTGGAAGAACTAGTCAACTTCAACCGCCACCACCCCGAGCTATCATATGCTGAACGTGAGTCCATTTAAACGTGTAGATTAATTTTGAGTGTTATTCATTATCGCTAGGCAATGCCGCTCAAAGGTATCTTGAGTCCGCAATCAATCAGCACCTTACTGAGGAAGAGTACCGTGCGGCGCTCCTGGAAGCCAAGGAGATTGCCATTGATAACGGCATCATCGAAACACTCAACAAGTACAAACTGGACGCGCTTGTTCTACCTGCATGGACGGAAATGAGCATATATGCAGCTTGGGCACGTAAGTAACCTTGATCAATCATTTTCGGGGGTAGTATTTGGGTAGATTCGTACTCATTTGCCGATGATAGAAGCACCGACTGGCACCGTGCCTCTTGGAAAGTACCGGCAAGGCAAGCCATATGGCTTAGGGTTTGTCGCACGCCGCTTCGACGATGGCAAGCTGTTGCAGATCATGAAATTATACGAGTCCACATTTCCCCCTCGTCTCATCCCCGAGAGAATGCGATGGAGGAGATGGGAGCGTATATTGCCTCGAAAGTATCTGGGTAAATTCTCATAGTCGGAAGACAAGTCTAAATCCTCTTACCCTTTCTAACCTTTGCTCGTGGACTTGCACTCATCAAACTGAAGTGAAGAGGCAAATTATGACACCGTAAAACTGCTGGCATGCGAATTCATCAAATCACTCTCTCGGGGCCACAGCGCTGCACAAAACTCTCATAGGCCCACAGGATATTCGGTAACACCAGTGCTCGTTAGAGCCGGGCTCGTCTGTTGCTATATGGAACATTAGCTTTCCTTTGCCCAATGCGAAACACGGGTACTGTACGGCCTGGTGGGGAATGCCCTAGTGATTTTAAATGCCAAGCAGTAATAAAAGTTCTCGAACGCTGATTTATACCTGAAACCATGGAATTCCAGATGTGGTGTGGACTAGGTGGAAACATCGTCCTTAATTCCCTACAGAAATGATTGAACAGCTCACTGAACTCTGATATCTCGAGAGACGAAGTTGATCGCATAATAACAAATTCTGGCTGTGAAATTGACGCCTTTAACGTTAAAAGGGGAAATGACGTTTAGGCACCAAAACAGCTAAAATGCGGTTAGTGATTTAAATATGAGTTTCACGAGCAACACTCGCATCTAAATCCAATCAGAAGATGGGGCTTTAGCCGCTGGGCTATGCTCTTAGCATGACAAGAGCACCTAGACCATTTGATTTTCAACAATGGCGCCTCGGGATTGGTGGTAAGATATAATCTAACGCTTACTTTCCATGATTGCTGCCCTTGCATCCGGTGGCCGACCCGGAGCCGGCCAGCACCGCAATCCCCTCAAAAGGCGATATAGAATCGCTTTTATTGCATGGCGACCGGACCGGCGCTCGCTTGAGGTTGGGGCCACTCTTCTAATATATCTCGGACGACGGGATGGCCCTATGGCTCTCACTGGTGGAAACGGAGATCCCCGTAAGGTTGGATCCAGCGGAGAATTTAAGGGCCAAAACGGAAGAACCATCGCAACAACTCAATTGAGAAACACCGAACCCATCACAACTTCTCTTAGAACAGGATCTTATGTAATCGATGGTCACTTGTATAGTGGCTCATTTTCGTATATTATGAACGCGGATCTCATGATGGATCGCCATGGAGTTGTTATTCCACCAACATCGTAATTCACAAAACCTCTCAAGAATTTGGATCTAGCCACCATGAAACATTACATCTTTAAAGCCATTCTCTCACTAGGCGTATCTACAGTATGGGCGGCACCAGCTCCGGACCCCGTCGCTCTGGCGCCGCGAGCCACGCCGACACTTTACCTTTGTGGTGACAGCACAATGGCGAAGAATGGCGCCAACGACGGTGATACGGATGGTTGGGGTCAATATATCGGCCAATACACATCACTGACCACGGTCAACGAAGCAATTGGTGGTCGGTCGGCACGGTCCTACTGGAACGAGGGTCGCTTTGCGACTGTTGCTGGTTTGGTGAAGTCTGGCGACATTGTGGTGATTGAGTTCGGACACAATGATGGTGGCACGCCCACATCCAATGATAATGGTCGCTCTGATTGCCCTGGTTCAGGCACAGAGACCTGTATATCTGATGCAACCGGCGAGACGGTTTATACATTTGTATTCTACGTCATCCAAGCGGCCAAGTTGATGCTGGCAAAGGGTGCTACTGTTATTCTCAGCTCGCAAACTCCGAACAACGCTTGGGAGACCGGATCATTCGTTTGGGCACCTCCTCGATTTGTTGGATATCAGAAGACGGCCACCACAGCTTTGGCTAACAGTGCTGTCACCTTTGTCGATCACTTTCAGGCGACTGATAACATGTATCAGAAGCTTGGTAACTCGGCAACCAATGCGCTGTACCCGAACGATCATACACACACCAGCCCTGCAGGTGCTAAGCTTGTTGCGGAGGCCTTTGCCGAAGCAATTGCTAAAAAGATGAACGGTACAACTAGCTTGGCGAGCTATATAACTACTGTACCTAATGTGTACCGTCTCTAAAGACTGGAACGGTTTTAACAATGAAAATCTTTATGTCATGAAAATCTTGTTATCTTTCCCTCCTATCAAATATTATACAATAGCGCAAAAGCGCAGTCGTCATCGAATAATTTGCATTGTACATTTACACTAAATCTTGTGCCTGGCCTCCGTTTTGATATTTTCGTTTTGAGATACCTAGATACGAACCCACAAAACTAGACAGTCATTTAGATCGGTGTTGTGTTGGCCAGAGTTTAGATTTGTTTACTAAAACCCAATGTTTTTGCTTTGTCTTCAAACCGATCTATGCTTGAATTCCTCCCTTTAAAGCTGATGTCTTATATCATGACGACAAATCGATTTGCGCCGGTCCACATTGCCTTAAATCCTTTCTTCGCCTTTAGCACGGCTATCACTAATTTTTGGGTTGTCGGGCAATTATGGCACCGAATTATTCTCCAACTCCTCTCTCCTATCCAGTAATGTAAGCAGTTAGTAATAGGATAATAGAGACTTGAGCGAGACCGCCAGTTGACGAATTATGTTTCATAATCACTTACAAGAAAACTCCAAATTCAGCCACATACGCCAGCCAGTATTTGACAAGCTGGTCAAGTATTTCTGGCTCCTGCTCAGCTAGATTGTGTATCTCGCCTCGATCTTTATCCATGTCAAATAATTGCCATCTTTCTGGTCCTTTTGGTTTTGGAATAAACACTGCCTTCCATTTCCCTTTGCGTATGGCCTGGTGAAAGAATAGCTCCCAGCCTATCACAGTGTTCTCGTCATGCACTTGTTCCACCTGTTCTCGTAGCAATGGTAACCAAGACTTGCCTTTGACTGGCACCACCTCACGGCCCCGAAATGTCGATCCAGGTAGTGGAACCCTAGCTAAGTCCAAGATCGTGGGTAAGATGTCCATGACTGTTACGAAGGCATCCGAAATACGCCCTCTTGATCGGCCTGTGAGAGGTGGGTAGTGTACAATAGCCGGACATCGTATGCCGCCTTCGGTTACGTATCCCTTGTGCAAGCGGCTAGGTGCCGTAGCTGCTTGAGCCCACCGCGGACCATACCAGATAAATGAGTCCCGGTTGCCAAGGTTGTCGGTATCATTGTTGTACTCCTTGTCGATGGCTCGCTTTATAACGTCACCTGTCATCGGGATGGCTTCGAGTACACTCCCTTCAGCCCCATTGTCCGACATAAACACAACAAGAGTGTTATCCCACTCGCCCGTGGCTTTGATTGCGTCCATTACACGACCAACATTATAGTCGAGCCTGTCAACCATGCCAGCATAGGCCTCCATTGTACGTGCCGACCAGCGCCGTTCCTCGATCGTCATGTCGGCCCATTCTTTCGTCCCCGCCACTACGGGATGCGGCTCTGTGTCGGCCGAGCACAAGTTCAGCTCCACCTGCCTAGCTATCCGGCGTGTGCGCAACACATCCGGTCCATCATCATACACGCCCGCATAGCGCCGCATACTCTCTTCCGGTGCCTGTAGCGGCCAGTGCGGCGCGGTGAATGGGAGAAAAGCAAAGAATGGCTTATCTCGCAAGTTAGTGTCGCCTTGCCGCTCCTCGAGGTATCCAAGAAGCCGAGTAGCAAAGTAATCACTCGAATAAAAGTCTTTAGGTAGCTCAGTGGCGGAGTCTATCTGGCGCTTACCATCATGGTAGAGGCTTGCCCAGTGGCTGAAAATACGACGCCCATCAGGGTGACGGGGCTCATAGTTGTAATGATTTGATCCACCTGGTAAAAGGGCGAAGGAGCGGTCGAAGCCACGTGCTGCAGGCGCGAGTTCTGGTCGCAGACCGAGGTGCCATTTACCGCTCATGCAAGTATGGTAGCCAGCATCCTGGAGAATCTCCGGTAGAGCAGCTACTCGGAAGTTGAGATAGCCTTCATAACCAGGGCGGTTTTCCCATGGTACCGGGTCGCGGCCATCCGTCCAGAATGCCATCTGACCAAGTCCGGCGATGTGATTGTCGGTTCCCGAAAGTAACATCGCCCGCGTGGGCGAGCACATGGAGGCCGTATGAAAGTTTGTCAGGCGCACTCCAGAGGCAGCGAGCATGTCAAGCGACGGCGTTTGAATCTCGCCGCCAAAGGGACTCGTGTCCGAAAAGCCCAGATCATCGGCAACGATGAGAAGAACATTTGGCCTCTTAGCCGCCATGGCAGCCAAGAAACTTGATCTTTCTGTGCTGCTGGGATCGAATGCGTAATTGAATCTCCTTTACTTTTAGAATATGTGGTCTACTCTTTGTTCAATGGCTTGGATATAACAAGGCGGCTTAGCTGGTATTTTCTATCCTTGAAATGACACGACCACAGTAACGAAATAGGGCATTCTTTTCTTAGGTTGAAGCGGCGCCGAGACTGGGACTTGACGGAAACTAACGTAACTATCGACTACGCAACTTAGAATGTCGTCTGCTGTCCTCACTCAAGATATATTGGAGATGGCTGTAATTTGTTGTCCTAAAGTACCGCGCTTAAGAACTTCTCGCATCCCCTCAGTTTGCGCAGCAAATATAACGGCGAGTGAGACTTAAGGACAAATATCTTGAATTCCCAGCCTTTAATTTCTTGAACATGAGGCAGAACCTGGCCATGCATAGAGCAGACGTTTGCGATTTCGTGCTCGGGCTCCATTCTGACGTCTTTGATAAGTGCATGGGATGTCTAGCGTAAAGAATCCCGATGCGGGGCCTCTCACTTCTGTTTCCCACTGCTTTACGCACTCTTATACGTGGAACAATGACAACAAAGTACTAATCCTACGTATATCTCGATTGACAACAGTTTGCTCAAAGGAGCAGATTCGGCCGCTAGTACCACACCAGTGTACCCGTAACTGGAAGATGGTAGGTAGCACAAAATTTGGTGTTCGGCCCGTACCGCAGATCACGAAGGCCACCTAGATAGTTCATGGTAATTGACATATCGACTTTTGCTGTTCTAGAGATAAATGAAAGGCACTTTGCCACAGAGGACCAGAATTGTAAGAGAGTTACACACAAAAGTGATCCACCGATCTACACTCGAGACACAGCTCCAACAAAGTACACAACATATAGTATCATGATAGTGATGTTCATCAGATTATAATTGTAACTCAATTTATTGATTATGGCAATAAAAGCGAATTACGACGTAGAATACTCGACCTGAGCAACTATCGAAAAGTACCGCTACCTTGAACTCATCTTCAATCTTCTTTAATTCAGTTTCTTCATATATTTCTTTTAGGCCATTAGATATCTTAACAATTAAGCGAGTTTGATCTCCTCGGCCCTTCCAGTCTTGATGTCGAATAGGAAGCCTCGCGCCTTATTCCTCAGCTCAGCTCTGATGAGCTGAGTGGCACGAAGCCACTCAAGATCATCCTTAACACTGCCTGCCATGCTGTATTGAATTTAGCCAAACCGAATTGTGTCATATCAATACACGCTTTCCGACTTACTCTGTGTTTGCACCCCAGTCGATTTGGTCAATTTCCTCCGAGTAACTTTCACCTACTCGCGCTTTGACGGTGGTACGCATCCAATCATCCGTAAACATCAGAGAACCGCAATCGGTGTGATGAACGACGACGAGTTCCTCAATCACAAATCTCGTGTCTAGGAGGAGAATATCCCGAACCGCAAAGCGAATATTGCCACCGGCGTTTCGAGAGACCATAACCACTAGTTCCTGGATTAGTCTCCTTACAGGTAGGCAGGATTTACAATGACTTACTCTCACCGTTGGGCACTCCGAGGTTCAGGTCGATGAATTTATCAATGCTACATCGAGGATCCACACAGGCCACTGCCAGTGTTTCAGTGAATTAGCGAGCTGCCAGAAACAGTGAAACGCAGATCATTGAAATCACACACCGACGATAGTCAGTCGAGGCTTGGATACCTTATTAGCGTCGGCGATGGTCGGGAACGGTACAAACCCCTCGGGCCTATGCATGTTAGGTAAAAATCCTCTTCTGATATATGGAATATAGTAAGAACAGACTCGTGGGCCGCAATAAGATCAGCAACTGTTTCAGCCATTCTTATTTCTCGAAAATAATCAGATCAGGAAACTGTAATTATAAACGTGTAATCGTGTATCACAAGCAATTTTCAACAGATTTGTTTGGTATTGATGAGTGTTGTTAATGAAACGAAGAGGTGCGAGTTCTTTTATATGTGTCGTCTCAACCGAAACCTGTGTACAATAACAGCGTGGTGGGATATTGTCGGCAAAGTCCGCGATTGTTGATGATTAGTGATTATGCAGCCACCACAGGCATCACCATGGGCCAACAATAGAGTTCACGAACCACGAGCGCCACTCATACAACATCGGCTTTCATCATTCATCCGAGTGTCTTCAGGTTTTCACTGTCTCCGAGAGGTATCGGCATCTCAGTTATCTTGCAATGAATGTTACAAGGTTCATCACATAGCGAACGTGGAATCGGCATGAATGATGAAAGCTCACAACATAAAGCGTGTCTAATCCACCAAGTAACTTGAAATCTTCCTTAGTAATCGATCCAATCAATGGAAGTTAGCGTAATATCGTTAGCTTCAACCTTTCACAGTGTCGTCGAATGACAGGACTCGTCCGTGCGGATGCCTCCATGAATAGAGGACGGGCAGTATCGCCCATGTCAAATCTCAGAGAGTAAAATATAAATACAATGTCGTCATAGGTGTGTGCAGACTACTTCTAGTGAGCTATGGATAGACACACGAGGCGGTGATTTTCTTTTGATTGGTTCCCTGAGTGGCTATGTCACGACGAAACCTCAGAGGCTGGACAAAACCTATAATTTCCGAGCTGTTACATACTATGGACACCCAGCTAGAATCATGCCTAATTGCTACATGCAACCCTAATTTACACGGTCAAAGCTTATAAATCATGATGAATGTATCAACTATCGAATGTTTGCTTGAGCTGCATGCTATTTGAGCTTAGGAAGGTATAAGCTTGTATTCACACCACCAAGTCCTCTGATAAGCAAACGAAAGCAAAAGGAGGAGAACTCCAACTTTTACAAGGTGTAGTCAAAGAGAAACTATAAGCGTTGATACACATCATAGCCAATGAGACAACTCTCAAGCAAAGCCAGTGCTGATCACAAAGCTTGCATCGTCATTGAATGAAGCAGCCGCATCAAATGTGTGGAGACCGCCATTGCTCGCAATGTACAGGACATTGGCGTAGTGGCGGAAGAAGCGAGTTGGGTAGCTCCAGGACCGAATCGTATTGCCCTGACCGTTCAGGCCAGATTGGAGACAGAAAGTCGCGTCCTCGTAGAACTGCTTGGTGCCATCGTTAGCATTAACGAGTAGTGCGAAATTATAATGTCGAATGTAGCTTCCAGGGGTATCCTTGGACTCGAAAGAATAGCAAGCACTGTTTCCAAGGCCGGTGCGAACGGTCCAACTAGCCTGCTGTTTGAGCGTGGTAGCACTTGATGAAGTGACGACCTGCGTGTTTACGGTGGTGCCGGTGTGCGCAATATAACGCGTGTCATAGCCAGCCGTAGTGACCCGCAAAGAGATGGATGATCCAACCGTGAGACTGCTGCTCAACGAGGTGGTGGCGTATTTGGCGGCCACAATGTTAGCTTGTACCGAGTTCTCGGTAGCATCTGATGGATAGCTAGCGGTCCTATGAATTCTATAGTTAGTATCTGTTGCTGTTATAATACAGGAGTAGAGTTATGCCATAAGTAAAGAGCAAATTTTGCTTACATGACGCCCTCATAGAACGTGCCCTGAGCGCTGACGCTGTTGTCACCACCGATGCCCAGAATGATCGCGCCCTCCTTAGACATTGGATTGTAGCCAGAGGCAGATGGGCGCGCTCCGCTGTAATATGTTGACAGCGAGCCGGACGCAGCGTTAGCACCCCTAATCGCCCACTGGTTTGGTTCTCCCTTGATGACCGCAGTAACAAATCGATAAGAGATCGATGGGTCACCGGCGTTGTAACCAGAGCTGGATCCAGAAAACAAGCCGTTTTCAAGATCAGCCATTATCCATGGCCCAGATCCAGCTCCAGTTCCCCAGCCGGTACTCGTACCAAAGTAGATGGCCTCCATGTGACCATTGCCCGTATCGTGACTATTAGTCTCGGCGTTGCCGTAGTCAAAGCAGCAGCCGCCGTTGTAGTGGGTGCCATCAAGGACCGCATACATGCCTTCTGCTGCGTCACCTTTAGCTGTACCGCTAGGAGCATTATTGCGGTAGCCGGTGCCGGGTGAGATGAAGACACCATAGGCTTTTTGACCGTTTAGAGTCACTGGAGCGCCAATTGCACTAGCCAGGTTGTCGTAGCCGTTGGCATCCGGACCGCTGAAACCTCCGGGAGGAGCCTGGGTGAGATGATTACCTCGGCCGGACTGGTCGTAGATAATCGTAATTAGGCAGGTTGTCCCGGAGCAGAAAGAGTCCTGGGTAGCAGCATTTGCAACACCACCGGCTGACAGGGGCGCGATGATGGTTGTGGTATTGTCAGAGCCACGCTTCACCTGGTAAAGCCCGCCAGTGTAAGCGCTATACAAGGCCCGAGTGGTGCTGTGCGCGGCAATGCAGGGCGTTCCTCCCGAGGAGTAGATATCGCAGGGTCCGGCAGCAGCAAGAGAGGCTGTGGTCAAAAGGGCCAACAGACCAAGCCCGGAAGCGCGTCCGAGACTGGCGGTTAGTGAAGACATGATGAGCACTTTCAGGGCAAAGAGAAAAGGGGACGAGCACACCTCAGAACATCCTGAGTTCATGAATTAGAGACCGGGATATCGTGCCTTTTTATGTACAGCCATCCTTGTCAGCTTCACCCGTGTGGGGAAATACGCTTCCCCTGGAGATCCAGCGGGGATCTCGGAGCCCCCGGATCTCGGAGACTGTCTCGGAGGCTGGTGTTGCGGGGAAACTTGAAGATGAACATGGATGGCTGTGGTGTTGCATCGTCGGATAACAGGACTGAAACGGCGAGGCTCACAGCTGAACCTGGCAAACCGATGTTACTTCGTCTAGAGAATCACGACTTTTGCGCTAAAGCCGTTGCTGCTCTAGTTGTTGGTGGGACTATAGGTATTATACGCACAAATAGAATTCTGCAGTTCGGGATGAAGTATTCTTTTAGACGAAACACGGGGTTAAGCGTCAAGTTGTCATGCTAAGCTTTGTTTTCCCGGTTGAGATGTAGATCCTGGGCGGCATGCGTTACCAAAAGTGTGGAAATTTCCACCAGTGATCATAAAAAGGATGCTCCGATTCGCCAATGCTACCTTGCCTACCAAGTTTGTGTATACCCACAACCTGACAATAGACTCACGAGACTCAGCATGGCACCCGCATGCAACCTTGACTTGCGTTAACAGATCATCAGCATAAGCGTACCAATCAAATGCCAAGCATCTCCCGGACCAATCCGAAGACAGACGAATGTTATGTAAGGGCAATCTAGACTCAAGCAACTTTGTTGCTCTTGCCTGGTCTCCTTACCATGCTCTCAGAGGTATAGTTCTAGGTTCATCGATATCCATATCCCATGAAAGGCTATTTAACTATAAATTTATAACTTATTGGCTGTTGGAGTCAACGACAGAATCATGGTACTTCCGATTGCGTTGTCAAGCACATGTTCAGTCAATGGATCCAAACCCAGAACCCTGATTGCTATACGTAAGTCCAATTGACAATGATCGTGAGATTCGGGCCAATTTCAATTGAAGGAATATAAATAAGCAAATTCAGGCAACATGCAGTTGCTCAGGAACACATCATCTTTGACAAAGCGATTACAGCAGTCAATCAAAGTCAAGTTGCATCGCGAGAAGGGCGAAAACAATATTGCGACTGAGTTTAAGCCAGGGCACTGTCGTTATATATGACTGCATGATACAATATGATAGTGATTCTTTCAAAAGCTCGCCCTGGATCGCCCACTATGTGTTCTGTTGGCAAAGCAAGCGAAGCTGACAAATCACAAGGATTGAACACTACGTAGGACTGACCTTCCTAAGTTGGCATTCCTGTTAGCCACGCACGCAAGACGGACCTGTGCACTGTAGAGCCTCCAAGCTTTCCCATACAGGCTGGTTATATTGTAGATGGCGCATGAAACGAATCAAATCACGACAGCCGGGAAGATGTTCTCTCAGGGCATCAATTGACGTTTCTAGAGGTTGCTTTGTTGTTGGCATATTTGCGATATGCTTCTAAGGACGTGCAATCAGATGACGCATCCACACCGCACACCGCGGGCAGCCGACGAATCCTACAGAAAATTAGCGCGTGTCTGCCCCAACATACGTCAGCCAATATCTTCAGCCACGACTACATCTTGCCTTTGAAATTCCAGAGTAGCTTATATCGCGATCTATGTGGATCGATGCCTTCATTTTGTGTGCTGTCAATGTCTTTCAAGGTCGCTTCGTTCTGAGGGGACGCAATTGAACTTCTTTTCATTGCTGTTCGATATCACCACCGCCGAAATAGCCGTAGGTCGAGCAAGTGAGTCACGAGCATATCTGGAACATCGAACTCAACATGCCTTTCTCCACTGGAGAGGACAACCTGCTCCAATTGAATCAGCAGGACTTCGACTTCAATGTCCAGTTCGAGCAGCTGTTCTTCTCCATCATTCCATCCGTATTGTTTATTCTGACATCGTTATGGCGGACGCTTTCCCAAACGCGGAAGCCCACCGTAGTCAATGCTCCGATTTTCCAGCTCATCAAATTGGTACACTATCACCGTGAAACTATTCAGTGTCAACGTTCTGACTCAACTGCTGCAGGGCGCTATCACTACGTATGTCGGACTCGAACTGTCACTTCTCATCCTGGTCGCGGTGGGATCTTTCCATGTGACTAGCATGTTCATAGCCTCCTCGGTTCTTAAGCTTGTGTCAGCCCTGTTCATGACAATACTCAGTCTTGTTGACCACAACAAGAGTCCAAGGCCATCGGTACTCCTAAATAGCTACTTGTTCTTGACTCTACTCCTGGACGCGGCCCAGGCGAGAACACTGTTCCTATCATCGGGAGATAAGCCTGAGCTTACATACAGTAGTATCTTCAGTGCTGCAATCGCTCTGAAAGTTGGAATATTGCTGTTGGAGGCCCAACGAAAGTCGAGATGGGTGAGTTGGAATGAGAAAGAGCATAGCCCAGAGGAGACGAGCGGGATCTTTTCCCTCGGAGTCTTCTTTTGGCTGAACAGGATCTTCCTTGAGGGGTATCACAAGGTATTGACCATAAAAGACCTCTATCCCCTCGATGCGTCTCTGGAGGGCAAGTCTCTGCAAGAGGAGTTTTCCAGGCACATGGGATCCACCAAAATGAAGGGTGATAGATTCGGGCTTGTGAAGGTGCTTGCCCGCACGCTCAAGGTGCCACTTTTGCTGCCCGTAGCCCCACGACTGGCACTTCTCGGTTTCACATTCTGTCAGCCGTTCTTCATCGAGAAATTACTGGACCACCTATCCCAGCCCAAAGTTGAGTCAAATATTGGGTACGGGTTTATCGGCGCCAGCATTTTGATCTACGCTGGACAAAGCGTCTCCACGGCCCTTTGCTAGTAGATTAAACCTAATACCCGTTCCCGCCCGTCAGTCACTGATACAAGATTACAGTTATTTCCACCATCGAATGCGAACCATGGCAAGATCAATTCTCGTCACCGAGATCTTTGTCACAGCTACAAAAGCTCGTATTGGGACTGGTGATGATAGCGCTGCGCTGACCCTGATGAGCACCGACATCGAGCGAATTGACATGGGCTTTCGGCCCCTGCATGACATTTGGGCCAGCATCATACAGGTTGCGATAGCGGCTTGGATGATTTACAATCAACTCGGTGCGGTTTTTGTTGCACCAATAGTGGTTGCTGGATCATGCTTCCTCGGCTTGGTGATCCTTATGAAGTTCACAGGAGATTCGCAGAGGGCATGGATGGCCAAAGTGCAGAAGCGTGTCGGTCTAACGGCCACAGTCATCGCCAGCATGAAGAACTTGAAGCTGTCTGGACTCGCTGTTGCCATCGGTGGTTTCGTACAGAACCTCCGTGTCGAAGAGCTGGCGGCGGGTGCTCGGTTTCGCAAAATAGCCATCATCGCCGCAGTCTTCGGCTTCCTTCCGCTTATGATCAGCCCGCCGCTGACGTTTGCATTTGCTCAACAAACACTTGATGCTACAAGGATGTTCACGAGTCTTTCTTATCTTCTACTCTTAACAAATCCGTTATCACAGATCTTCCAGTCTATCCCACAACTTCTCTCAGGGTTGGCATGTTTGGGGCGAATCCAGGCCTTTTTGGAGTGCGAAACGCGCCATGATTTTCGAGAAGTCCTTGCTGACATGAGACTGCACTCCGAGAAAAATCAAGCAAATATTGCTCCTATAACAGATTCAGAAGCAGACACGACGCATCCCATCACCATCAAAAACGGAAAGTTCGGCTGGGAAGCAGACAAGTTCATCTTACATGAAGTAAATACCCAGATCAATAAGTCCTCGCTCACCATTGTGGTCGGACCGATTGGCTCAGGTAAATCTACACTCTGCAAAGCACTACTTGGAGAAATACCTTTCAGCGAAGGCAGTGTTTCTTTAAGCACAAGATTTCCTCATGTTGGATTTTGCGACCAAACAGCATTTCTTTTGAACGGCTCGATCAAGGAGAATATCGTAGGCTTCTCTCAGTTCGACGCCGAAAGATATTCCGAAATCATAGAGGCTACAGCTTTAGGCTTCGACTTGGACATGCTTCCACAAGGCGACAGGTCCAATGTTGGGTCCGATGGGATCACCTTGTCCGGTGGCCAAAAACAACGCGTTTCACTCGCCCGAGCCCTGTATTTACAATCCGATATGCTGATACTCGACGATATATTCAGCGGCTTGGACGCAGATACTGAGGAGCACGTCTTTCGGCAAGTATTTGGACCAGATGGTCTACTTCGACGACGAGGCTCCACGGTCATTTTATGCACTCACAGTATTAGGCACCTACCTGCTGCGGACTACATAATAGCACTAGGCGCCGGCACTGTTATAGAACAAGGCACCTTTGGGGAGCTAATGGCTCGTGAAGGGTATGTCCAGCGTTTGGGACTAAAGGACTCTTCGGAAAGTGATACATCGTCTGAGAAAATAACGACGGAGAAGAATGGGCGAAAATCAGTACCGCAGCTCCTTCGTGCTACTTCAACAAATACATCATCCATCGCGCCGAACACAGACGAGTCGCGGAAATTCGGTGATAGGACGGTATATAAGCATTATTTCAAGAGCATGGGATTACTCCTTGCAGCATCTGCTTTGTTCTTCGCTGCCCTTTGGGGCTTCTTCACGAACTTTCCGACCGTTTGTAAGTCTCGTGTTCTTCATTTCTTTTTGCATTCCGACGGCGTAATCTAAGTCAAAAGACAAAAGTATCCCTGAAACAGAAAGCTTGTTGAATCCTGAGTCTCACTAATGACACTTTAGGGCTCAAGTACTGGTCTGATGATGTCTCCTCGGACAATCCATCTCATCATTATGCCTACTACGCTGGCATATATACCATGCTCCAATTATGTGGAATGATTTCACTACTTCTTCTCGGTGTTTCTCTTTTTATTGTCTCAGTGAAAAGAGCAGGCGCCAATCTACATCGGGATGCATTGCGAACACTGATTAGAGCGCCGTTACGTTTCTTCACATCCACCGACACTGGCATTGTTACAAACTTATTCTCGCAGGACCTGAATCTTATAGATACGGAACTACCA